CATCTTAGCTGTGGAGGGCAGTGTCACTGGCCCTCATATGTGGGATCCGAACTGGGGCCCTCTGGCATCCCAAGCCAGCTCTTAACCATCGCGCCATTCGGCTGGCCCTATTTTTGCCTTATTTTTAACTTCTTCTATAAAGCAATTTTAAACAAAGAGCATGTTTTTACAAACGTGAAAAGTAATATAAACTAAACAATTTTTTGAGATAATGTAAACCATGAACTATCTCTACGTACTCTTATTATTTTTATTGATGTAATATCTACTGAGTTTGGAATTATTTTTATAATTTAAAGTAATAAATGGAAAGCTAATTCTCTCAATTCAAACACAACTTTTTTTTGAGCAAGTGATTGCCTAATGACATTATTAGAAATTGAAGCCTTTCAGAAAGGAATATATATAAAATTCTTAAAGTTATTATATGAACATGTTTTTTTTTTAACATGGTTAATAATGTATTACTTAGAATTGACACAAAGTATTGGATCAATAAGGATTTTTAAAGTAATTTCCTTTATTCCGGAGGCTTACAGACACTTTAAAAAATATATATAAAATTAGTATTGAGGGAGATCTCTAAGATAATTATTTCATTTTCCTTATTTAATGTCTGACTTAGAGGCCTTTTTTTTATGATTCATCATGTCACTATGTAAGTTTATAATCTGGTGTAAAAATGGTTTCATGTTAAAATCCAAGTATATTTTATTTGTTTGGGGGGAGTTACTTTCGCTTTAATTAATGACTCAGATTGGAAATAACGTTAAAGTGGTCACTCAATACTAATGTGAACATTTTTTGGTCATCATTTAAGTGTATCTCAATGGAGGAAGTGGGTGTTATATCACTGTGAGTTTTGCAGAGCGTAGAGATTTTGTGCTTTGTTTTTTTATCGGATTTGGCCTGTGAATTACAAGGGCAGAGACCGGAGGGGCCAGTGTTGGAGCTGGCATTCTTTTGAGAGTCAGCCGAACCCCTGTGTTTGCCGACCTGGAAGGTCACCACTGTGGTGCAGAGTGGCCGTGAGGGAGCCTGTGGACAGACCCAGGTGGGACTCTCTTTGGGCAGTGTAACCTGCCACCTTGAGCCTAGGCGTCAAGCTAGGGCGCTCCATTGCACACCCAGCTGTGGGAGTGTGACTGCTCTGTAAAGGCGGCCTTGTAGTGCCACCCCATCGAGGGGTCTGAAGACTGAGGAGGGTTCATGAGAAACACGCCAAATGGCACCTGATGGACAGTGACAGCTGAACTCAGTAGACAGCAGCTGTAGGAAGCGCTTTCTGTCTGTCCTGGAAGGAGCACTGAGCGAAGCCCCCAGTTACCTCACAGAGCATAAAGCCGTGTGTTCGGACCTGAAAATGTTTGGGGGCTGCATTCCTGTGGTCCACCCGAAACAGAAAAATCTACGTAGCGTGGCCCCTGGATGTGTCCACAGCTGCCGAAAGCTACCAGACGAGTCAACAGTTGTGTGCAGCTATTTAACAGCTTGAAAACAGGAGACTGTCTGGCAAAGGTCAGAGTTTTCTCTTCCATAATTAATGACTTTTAAACCCTTTCTACTATCGTTTAATGTCCCTCCTGTGTTCTAACAAGTAGGTGACTATTTTGTTCTCCTAGTCATGATCTCAGGGGCACAAACAACCCCGCCATCTAAAAGGGATGCTGCACTTTGCATACATTAAAAGAGGAAGAGATGAGAGGTGATCTTATTTATGTAACTTAAATTGTTATCTAGTATGACAGAGACGATTCAGGGACCCATATGAATTTGCATTTTTAGCGACATTATTAAAGCTAAAGGCATAAAACGTAGTCCATAGCTGTTTGTAATATAAGAGCAAGTTGCTTGTTGTGACCTTTAACCCCCTTATTTGCCTAAAGGCCGTTGCAGCTGCTTCCCCCACTAGGCTGCCAGGTCTAGTTAAATGTATCTTTAGAACAACCAATATTTATCTCATGTTTATAAAGGAAAACTACACCAATAAGCATTCAGGCCGATGTAAATCTCCCATTATGTATTTAAATCCACCGTGTATCAAAAAGGAGCTGGCTGAGGTAACTTGCAGCAAAAACCATGACTTACAGGGTATTAAAATAGGACTAGAAATGCAAGTTCAGAACCAAGGACAGGGCATGGGGCGCTCCCTACCCCGCCCACCTCTGTGTCCCAGCTGCTCCTGGGCTGCTGCTCCCTCTGTCAGGGCTCTAAGGGACACTGCCTCTGTTCTCAAGGAGCAAGGACGCCCGTCCTCAGAGAAGAGGACATTTTCTCCTAAATTATGGTGGAACTATCTTGCATAAGGACCTGTGAGTAATGTACCAGGCAGTGTCGTCCACCGCAATGATACAGGGCCCTGAGTGGTGTTTGATAGAAGCCAAAAGCAAGCATTAAAGAAGGCGTTTGGGAGGTGAGTTGGTGGCAGGATAAGCCAGGTGCTCCCAGGGTGTGGCCTCTGTGGCTTCATTTGATTAAAGGGTAGTACTTTGATTGCCCGAAGTTGGAAAGATGAATTTTATCCATTGCAGGGTTCTTACGTTTTTATTCTCTTAGCATGAGGTTGATAGGAGCTATGCACACAACCTGTCAACGCTCCCTGAACATTCAAATCTCTGAATATTCAATACACACTGCGCGTGCAGGCTGTGCCCACAGTAGGGCTTCTGGGCGCCCGCCTGGGCCCCCCCAGGCTCCCCAGAACGGGGGTGAGCTGCTGCCCATGCTCCACTTTCCTGTCTCCTGTCCCTGGTTCTCATCTTTTATGTGGGGCAGCCAGAGAATCATCGTCTCCCCCAGCTAAGCTTGCGCCCGTCTGCCTGTGGCAGGAGAGCCTCGGGCCAGTCATTTGCTGCAGTGGTTTGGAAACGTCACGTCCTGTGAAGTGTGAGGCGGGAAATGCAAGGTTTCTGGACCAGCTTGAAGGATGCAGCAGTTTTATTGAGTCTAAAAATTGCTATTGCATCTACTCATGTTTTGGTTAAACACAATGAAGTTTGTCCCACAGTGTTCTTTTCCTGTCATTCTTTGTGCTTCTTTTTATCTCTAAACAAAATATCTGACAACTAGATGACCTGCCTGAGCACATGATCTTTTTAAATATCAGCATCATTATAATGCTTTTCCTGCGTTTTCCGTACTCTGTATAACTGGATGCATTTGTTTTTATTTTAATGGGTAAAATGGCAACCTCTTTCCGATTTAAATCTCTCTTGATCACCATAATAAAATTCCTTGTGCATTGCCGTCCCCCGTAAGAATTTTGACAGGAATCTAAGTTGAACTCGGCAGCCCCTCTCAGTGGGTGTAACACTCCCACCAGCACTGTGGCACCTACAGATGGGGAGTTGACTCATGAAACTTGATTCTGGTAGAACCGGAAGTGAAGGGATTTGAACCTGAAGAACCTTACAGGTCACCTGCTTCATCCTCCCTCTGAAGGACAGAAATAAACCTCCAGGGACACCGACATCCCTACCTGCGGCCCAGGCTCCCAAGTGCCCTCAGCCAGCCTGCAGTCCCCCATGCTGCCCCGTGTCAGGATGACACCTCTCATTGCCATTAGCCTACTCCACTGCCCGGTTCACGGATCAGCCCACAAACTCGATCACCACTTCTGTTTCCTCTAGATGAAAATCTTTATGGTGAAGTTGACGACTGTGAAGAAATTATAGTAATTTGATATTAATAATTTAAGTGCTAATACACTGGCCAGAAAGAGTTAATGTAAGTTTTCAGAAGATGAATCGTTCCTGAGACAGACTTAGAAGGCAGAAGAATGTGGGTCTTTCTACCAATTTGATTTGGCTGATCAGCTGTGAAAGATGCGTGGTGTTGTGAAGACACACAATTTCATAAACGTAGGGCTGTTAGAGTTGGAAATGAAAGCCTATCTTGTCCCACTCGGGACCAGATGGGAGGGTATTTGCTTAATCTTGAGTTTGCTTTTTTCCTGTGATGTAAAAAAGTAAACCTCAGCTGCCCACCTCATCTGTAAGGGGGGGGCATCAGTGCTACATGGAGCTGAGGATTAGAATAGAGTGTGGAATGGAGTCAATGGAATTGTAATAGGTAAGTATGATATCAGGGGTGGGAGGGGGGTTGTTTCTGTGTGAAGGGTGAAAAGGATAACCATTGCATTGTTCTGTACACCTGAAGCTAACAATAAAAAAAAAAAGAATACTGTTCATAACTTACCTCGCCTTTAATCTGTTATTCTTAGTTTAGAAGAATGCTTTTCCTTTCATCTAAAACGAATAGAAATGATATACATAATGGTTCGTGATAAATGTATGTGATAGCCGTCTACCCTAATTGCCTCATATCAATTGCGCTGTATAGTAAAACAATTATGGAAATTTAAACTTGCAACCACGGCTAACGTGGTGAATTCTAGATCAAACAAATGTGTGCATATCTGCAGTTAATTTGGAGCCTGTTGTTAAAAACCTATTGTCTTTAGCAACTGCTGTCCTCTCATTAAACTTCTCTGGAAAACCCCAAGGTCATTTTGAAGCCTCTGATTATGGAAGATAACCTCTTGTTGCCATTCACACTCACGAATGTGCTTCTAGAACATTCAGCTAGTTGTGGAATCATGGAGAGTAGTCGGTCACTTGTATCTCTGGCCGAATGGCTATTTAATCAAAAATATGCATCCTCCCCATGATGCTAGGTCTGGTCAGTACGTGGCCGAGCCATTCCCCAGCCTGCCGTGTTTTCTGTCTCTGCAGCTGCGACAGCTGGTCAACATGTGCATCAACCCAGACCCAGAGAAGCGGCCGGACGTCACCTACGTGTATGACGTCGCCAAGAGGATGCATGCGAGCTCCGCCAGCAACTGAGCGTGGAGACCGTCACCAAGAGCGTAACCGAAATAATTTAAAGTATTTTTGTGCAAATCATACCTCCCTGTTTTGGTCTGGGTGTTAAGATTAGTGTTTCAGAGCTCATGTGCTTTGGATCCTTAACCAGTTTTCATATAAGCTTCATTTTGTACCAATTTAAGTCACCTTCTTGCAAAGCCCCAAGCGACTTTGTAACAATCAAATTGTGTGTTAGGAGAGTAAATGGAACATGATGGGTTTTTATTGGCTGAAGATTTTTAGAATTATGGAGCGTTTTCTGGGGCTAAACTGCATTCAGACCGACTCTCAGTGCCAAACACTGAAGGCGCAGCTTGGCACTCAGCAGCGACGCCCCCCTCAGCCTGAGCAAAAGTGTCTGAACCTGTGACGGCTTTCCAGTGGCGTGCGGACATTCGAGAAGGAACAGAGTTGGGCACTTCTGTGATTGTTTTATTTTTAAAGGTTTGAAGTATGTGTTTTAGTTCTTAGCATTGTAGCTTTCAAATATAATTCTTAAGATAAATGTCAACATAGACTATTTGAGAAACATTTAAAACTCTTAGCTTATACATTCAAAATGCAACTATTAAATGTGAAAAGATTTGGGGACACAATGTGAGTCAGACACTGAAGAGTTTTCCGCTTTATTTTGTTTTCTTTTCATATCTTTGATATTCTCTTTGCATTAAAATGGTATAAATGAATCCATTTAAAAAGTGGTTAAGGATTTGTTTGGCTGGTGTGATAGTAATTTTGAAGGTTGCACGTTGCCCAAAGCTTTTTTTGTGTTTTCATTATTGTTTGTACATTTGAAAAATAGTCTTTAAATAATCTTGCAGTACTATATTTCAATTTCTTTATGAATTTAAATGCTCTACTCATAATTATACACTAGAGTGTAAGCATATATTTTTATTCATAGATTTTATCGAAGTTCTGATTGGTGCCCTTCAGAAATTTTTTTATATTCTTCAAGTTGCTTTCTTATTTATATTCTCTGTGTGTTTTATCCATGAATGTTTTGGGTTTTCTGACAACATAATACCCTGAAAAAGTATTGGGTATGCCAGCACTCTTCCTGGATTGAAAACCTTTTCTTAAACTGTGTGAAATCCGGGCGCCCCGTGTACATGTGCTGTGTCTTGTTGGAGAGGAAGACAGGATGTGTGTTGTGCTGTGCTTGTGAATGTTGAGACAGTTTCAATTCAGTTGACCAGGTTGTAATTTTAGAATATGTTTAAGAAAATGAAAACTGGCCATTACCACAGCCAGAATTTGTATGAGATTAACATTTCTGTTGAGGAGTTTTAAGCAAAGTCCTGCATTCGTGCATGAAGATGACAGAGATGGTGACGCTTCATTTAGTGTGAGGAAGCGGGCAGAGTTCAGTAAATGCCATTGTGGGGGTGTTTTCCTGGACGCCCCGTGCTCATGGTGACCAGTTCCTCACAGTGGCAGTCATCATTAAAGGACGCCATGCCACCGCAGGACCCCGGGATCCATAACCTGCCAACGTGAAGACCTCACCTTCAGAGAACACCTACCTTTAGCTGATATTACTGCTGGCTTTGTTTTTCATGTAAGTACTTTTCTTACAATCATTTGAAATGCGTTCAAGTCATTTGTTAACTTTAAAAATGTGTGAAGGGCAAGAGTATAAGCTCTGCCTTTTCCCGGATTTAGTCAGCGATGGTCTGTTAATGGGCTATGGTATCTGAAGGGTAATGGATCTTGGGCGAGGCAAGGCAAGTGTGGCCGGCCCTTCTCCTGAGGGCCGGACGCGCCGTTTTCCCAGACCCAGCATGTCCGCCGCGCACCTGAGCGTCCGTAGGTTTGTCTCCGGATCCAGGAGGGGAATGGCTTTTGTTGCCCGTCAGTGTCACATTCATTTTAGTGTCAGGAACTGGACTGAGATGAAATGTTCTCCAGTTGGAACCAATACTCTTTTTCTTGCAATCTTTAAAAATACATGGATCTAAAATTTGTTAGCTTAACCCCTTGTGGTGACCTGTAAGCAAAGGTTCACCTTTTCTTGTCAGTGACTCTTACCTGCTACAAGGAAATAGCTGGGAAGAATTTAATGATCAGGGAAATCCATTATGATTTTCAACATGTGGAAACTTTTGGTTTGGGCTAGTGTATCTTTTTTGATCTAAGTGTTCATATTGTCCCTGAAGAAACCACTGTGTCAAAAGCAAATTTTAATTTTGAATGGGATCATTTCAAAGAATTATGAAGATGATGAGAAGTTTTAATTTTTATAATCACCTATAAAATGTTCCCTTTATATTTCTGTTTATAAGTACATTTTGTATTGATTAAGTAAAACATTTGCATGGATTTAAGGAACAATAAAATGAAAGGTACATCTGATGCTAAACCTTACTGAGACGTTGGTGCCCGTTCCCCAGCGCAGAGTGTGGGGTGACTGATTCGTAGGCTGAGGTTTAGGAATGGTGGGTGAAGGGTAACCCTGTATAAATAAAGTGCTCAACAGTGTGCAATGATTGTAAATTTACTAAGACATTACAGCCATCTCATGAATGCTGTACCGGTCTCCATAGTTACCTGTTACAAAACACCTTTCTTGCATCAATATACTTCAGGTGTTGCTGTTAACATTTACATGATATTTATTTTAACCAAAATGTTACTCATATTAAATGTTTGTTTTTCTTTAAAATGAATGTATTATGTGTATAACCCACAAATGCATAATTATCCTATGCCTTATATTTCAATAGTACTGTAATATGGACTTCTTTTGTGAAATACTCTTATTTTGTTATGCTTCAGATACACATACTAAAAGTACTCTGATGTTAGCTTTGAAAATTGTATAATATCCTAATATAAATAAAAATATAAAATTAAAAAATGAGTACAATAAAATTGTTACGTATCTGTGATCTTTTCCCCCTTAAGTCTCACGTTGTTTATTTCTGAGTGCTACTTACAGAAACAGTTCTTATTCACTTCCATAACCTGATTATTCTGAAGAAGCTTAAGAATTGAAATAGCCAAGGGTGATAATGGTGCTCTGACAGGCCCTAAGAAACGGTTTTTTTTTTAAAGATTTTTATTGGGGAATTGGGGGGATGGGAACAGTGCTGGGGAATTGGGGGAAGGGGAACAGACAAGTTGCTGTCGTTTTCTTCTTCAGTCTAGTTGTGGAGGGCGTTGCTTCACTGGCCCAAGTTGGCACCATCATTGCGCTCTTCCCTGGCAAGGCAGATCAGTCGCCGGCTTCTGGACGGCCGCTCACTGCGGCTGCTGGCCGCTCACGTTGGCTGCTGGCTACATACGGTACCCATGGCAACCCACTGCCATAGGGACTGCAGCCTACGCCGTCGCCAGTGACTCACAGCAGCCCAGCTCCAGGTTGAGCTGTTGTTCAGCATTTTTGCTGTGGAGGGCAGTGTCACTGGCCCTCATATGTGGGATCCGAACCGGGGCCCTCTGGCATCCCAAGCGAGTTCTTAACCATCACACCACTCGGCCGGCCCTAAGAAACAGTTTTTAAAATATGGACTAAACTAGGTTTATCTTCACATGTTCCTCGTCTCTTTAGTATGTCATCTTCTGTCTTTGGATGAGAAAAGCTTTCTAGAATTATAAAAAGTCTAAAATTTAGGCAACAGATTAAATTCCTGTCACTGTAATGTGCTGCTAACAGTGTCACAGACGATTAAATGTCCTTTTTACATATAAGGGAAGACTGCCCCTAGGTCTGGAAATGGTGAGGCCAACAGGTCTGAATGGGGTGAAACCTACCAGGCTAGTGGTGGCGTGATGCGTGCACCTTACTCATCGGGACCACATTCCAAATGGATTTGGGGAAGACAAGCTGATTTATAACTGGGACTTACATGAAAGGACCTTTATTTAGTCTGACTGTTCGCGTGTTCATGCGAGGGTGTAAGGTAAGAGTGAGTTTTAGGCACGAGATAGTGTTGGATTTGTTAAAATTTTACTTCGAAAGTATGTTTATTAACTAGAAACGTCAGTGCCGGGCAATATGTTGAAATGTGTTATTAATTGGGGAAGCGATAATTACCACGAAATTGATGCAGTGACTTATTAAAATCAAATGATGACATTACTGACAGTACTGCAAAGAAACCCTTGTCAAGAAACTTCTGTGGCATTGTTACTTCATCTGCTTTTAACATTACATGTGAATTCCTAGCTCAATTAATGATGAACTAAAGCAGACTCATGGGATTATTTTTCAGAGAAAGATGTGAAAGTTTGTAAAGTTTATTTTACTTTGAATCGAGAGTTTTATCTGAGGGAGTTTCTTTCTGATCTGCTTACACACCCATTTCATGCCTCATTTAGGTGTCTAGGTCTAATCTAAATCCTTAAGAGATGAAAATAAAGTAAAAGAGAACTTTCAAGTTAGGATTCGGAACCAGTTTTTAAGTAAATTATTGTCACTGTGAGTGTTACAGTGTAATCCTGTGAGTGTTATCTAATGTCTCCAATCCTCGCTTTCCCAAGTGGAAAGAAGGGATATAAATTCTGAACTCTACAAGAGAATTAAGTGACAGTACATTTTACAAAGGACTGACAGTGATGCCTGATGCTGGTGGGCGCTGGCTGGACGTGGCGCCATTCTCACCGCACTGGCCTGGTCCCTCAGAGGCCAGCGCTCTCTCTCACCACGGGGCCAGCACAGCGCACGCAGCTCTTCCGTCTCGGCTGGAAGAAACCCTGCTCACCTGCCATGGCTGACCCTGAAAGCACGTTCTCAGGGAGCCCCGGCCTGCAGCCCCGGCCTGTCCCCTGGGCGCTCGCCCCAGCTGTAGCCCCGCGGTCCCTGTGTGAGCCTTTGGCTCCTTTTCACGTCCCCATGGATTTGGTGTGATGAGCGCTGCCTGTGCTGTTTGGTTTGGTGTCCCGTCCGTCCGTCACATGGTGTCCCGTTCACGTGGTTGCTGTTTTTGTTGAATTGCTACATGAACGTTACGATGCTGTAAGTGGAACTGAGCACACCAGGGCTCTGGGCAAAGATGCACAACAGCGGCGATCGGGACAGGGACCCACCGGTGCGGGAGGCAGAGCACAGCGTGTTCAGCACAGAAAGCCGGCCAGGGTGCTTTCCTCCTGCAGTCCGTGCTCCCGAGAGAGCCGAAGGCCAGCCACCACGGGGCAACTGTTCTGATTTGAAAAGGGATTCGGCTTAGTGGGATTCTTCACTGGAAGGCTGCGAGGTGATCTCTCCAAAGGAAGCATGTGGAGTAAGTGTCTCTTCGCCCTAAAGCTGCAATGCAGATAACCTGGCCTAGAGGCATTAATATGTTTTTAGATAAATGGATGGATGGATGCGATATTGAAAGCTTCTGATAATCGAGTCTGCCTGATTAATCATGCCTAAGGAATATATATTATTGGTTACATTTATATTTTTCTTTATCATTGACTTACGTAGCCTCAACAGCCCAAAATGTATGTTTGGATACCTCAGTCATCAGAAAGAAATAACCATCTTTGTATCATTTCCAAGATCTGTGTATATGCGTTTGAGGCTATAGAGTGTTTCCACAATGCATTTTGGAATGAAAGTGGAGTAAATTGAGTGCTCAGGAGACATTTCTCCATGTTAATGGTGTAGGAGTCCTCGATCCAGAAAAATAAACTTCATTTCTGTATACCCTGCATTTATCGGGCGTTCAAATCAGGCTCACGTTACGCTCCTTGTCTTACCCAGGTTTTCCTGACCACTGAAATGTGCTCTCTTAACACGCTGTCTCTCTCCTTTATGATGGGCATCACCATTGTAATGAAATGGTCTGCTATTATGAACGTCTGCTTTCCATGCAAGGCTCCGAGCTCCTGGGTAGCAAAGGTCATGCCTATGCTGATCGTTACTACATCCTAAGTACTCAGCAGAGTACCTGGAACATAGTAAGTACCTGGTGCACACTTGTTGACGAGCGTTTACATGCATGACCTCACCTATCTGTATTTGCTCAGTGCTTCCATGAGAGGGGTGCCGCGGCCCCCAGCTAGCAGCTGAGGAGACTGCGGCCCAGGGAGGAGGAAGGATTTTCCCAAGGTCGCTGAGGGTCAGATTATATTCCAGTTCCACGTCGAGTCTCATGCCTTCATCTGTTGGCTGCAGAGGAACCATCTGAGAAAATGCAGCATTGCATCAAAGAGCTGAAATGGAGGTAAGTGAAGCCATTTGTTGTATTCTGTACCGTCCCGCTGGGAGGGACGCTCAGCCTGAGCAGAGGGAGGACAGCCTGCTCAGCAGGTGTGTGGATGCAGAACTTGATGGGTGAGTGACCCAAGGTGGGAAGTGGTGGCTTTCCCACCTGCCAGCAGGGCTAGGGACAGGGAAGAAAGCCCGGGAAGGCACCTCCGCAGCATCCGTGAAGACCTCTGTTATTGGTGACAAAAGGGATGGAAAATGCCACATGCTACATTCAGTTTGTGTTCATTGGGCTCATTCCGAGGACCAGCTATGCCGCTTGGGCACAGTCCCCATATTTGCTTTTGTAAATGGTCATACTTGCTTCCTTAAGGAGCTGTTCACATTATCCCCATTTTTAACCCCGTTAGGCAGTGTAAGCCCTTGTGAACTTGCTCAAGGTCACACAGCCTGGAAGTGATAGGAGCACATGGTAAGTCCATTCTGTGCTCAAACATGTGCGTGGAAAATGAACGGGCGAAAAATGTTAGGCAGACAACGGGAAGAAAGGGGTTTTGGAAACAATATGGAGATGTTGACAGATGTCAAGGGAAGTGGTTCGTTTAAAAGGATAGTGGCTCTAATGACTTACAAGCTGGGTGTCCATCGATTTGAATTCGCGTTCTCTCCACTGAGATGGTAAAGACCGCGGGATTCTCTGCGGTTCCACCTCCCCCGGCGGGGTTGTCGCAAAGCTCGTCTGGTCGGCTTTGGGGATTTGTCAGGTGTCCAGTGAAGGATCGATCTGTCCTGATGCTTCAGAAGGAGTGTGGTGCATTTCTTATCAGACAAGGTGGGCCGTGATAGCGGAGTCCGAACACAGGCGGCATGCTGTACGTGTGATCTGAACCCCTTCATTCTAGGCTCATTGTGTTTATGTTTCAGAGAAATTGTGCCTTAATTTTAATCGTGGTAACATTTAGAAATAGATCTTCAAAAGGACAGAACTGCCTCATAATTTTACCTGCCAACACAAAGGCAGTTCAAGGAAGTTCAAGCAAATTTCAACATGAAGTGGGGGTGCTGAGTGTACCCACCAGATACAGCATTTGGGGAGGTGCCCTGCAGAGTGTCCCCCATAATAATGAGGCAATCATGGGATAAATTGGGTGTAAATCACATCAGTGGGGGTTTCTCCAGCTTCTGTTGATTTGTCAAAACACTTTATCAGGGAAAGCACAAATGAAAACAACCCTTTTCTGTTGGAAGCGATAGAGCGTGCTTGTGGGTGGGTGTTTGCCCGCAAGCCCGAGTCCCTTGAGTCTAAAGCCCCCCAAGCAGTTTGGCTGGAGTTCTGTGAGCGACTCCCGGGCGCAGCCTCTTTACAGCACGTTTGACTGTTCTGGGCGCCGCTGTCTTCTAGGCAAAGATGTAAAGCTGCTCCTGTGTCCTCGAAACTGAGATAGATATCTTTGTGCCACCAAGCGAAGCAATTATTTTGCCTTCCAGTAGACTCCGCTTCCTGCGCGTTGGCACCGCTGCCCGCTGTTGTCAGCGAGGCAGCGACACTGGGGTGAGCTTCATTAAGTGGAGCCGCGCTGGCGCTGACCGTTGATCCGCAGCTGCTCAGCTGCGTCTGGCCGCAGACCGCCCTCCCTCTGCCTCTCACTGCTCTTCGGGGAAAACCAAGCACAGAAACAACCCACTTGCCTGGTGTTTGGAGAAGCAGAGAGCAGTTTGATTTCAATCGCCAGCCTGTCCACCGGCTGG